GGCCTGCCCTGCGAGGGTGGGACAGGGCAGGCTGTGCTGCCTCGGGAGGAGCTGGGATAAGCCTAGCCACGCACAGGCACAGGGGTGTGTTGCATCCCTGCAGCTGTGCTGCACTGAGAGCTTCCAAGAGATTGCTCAGGTAGGTCAGTTTGTGCTAGGGAAACCGCCTTGCCCTGGGAAACTTCACTGTCCCTACTGGCAGCTCTTAGCAGCGTGCACAGAAGATTTGGGCACTCCCAGCTGCAACAGGGTAGGAATTTGAAACCCAGCCTCCCTGCAGGGCTGGGTGCCCGGGGCAGGAGCCCCCCAGGGCAGGTCTGGGGAGCTCCAGCTTTTGCAGCCCCATCAGCAGTAGGGCACGGTGGGGAAAGGGCTTGCAGCTCCCCTCGCCTGCAGCTCCCCAGCAGGGCTCAGAGCAGGAACTGCTGCAGGGAGACCATCAGCTGCCCGCTCCCTCCACAGAGAGGGCCAGGCAGCCCCGGAGCTGGTGGCTGCTCACCCCAGAGCGGGCAGTGCTGCGGGGCCGGCTGGCAATGGGAGGAGGCAGTGAGCGTGCAGGCAGAGGAAGGATTCTGCTCCCTTTAATCAGAAGGCGTCAGCCCCATGGAAACTTTTAGTAACTGACTTTCCCTGTGAAGTGAGGAACTTCCTGGCTGAGTTTCAGAAGCTGGCACCTGCCGTGTTCCCTGGGGCCACGGTCTGTCTCAGACATGGGCTGTCCTTCCTGGGAAGGGTAATTGCTGTTCTGCACTTTCTGTGTCTGGCTCTGTCATGAAATGTGTTTGCATTTGCATGAGTGGCAGGCCCCAGACAGCAGCACGTGCATGCACATCCCCTTCACACCCACCTGAACGGGCCCGCTCACAAGCGGCACGCATACCTTCCTTCCACCCATGAGTCACACAGCAAGAGGTTCTTCCTCATACGCCCTCTGCATAAGCATGCTTTCCCAAATACGCCTGCCTGCATGCTCCCAGGTCCCCCCGCTCACACAGGCACATCTGCAGCTGGGACAACGCACAGGCAGGCACAACCCTGGCTGGGAGGGAGAGGCTGATGGGGACGGGGCGAGGGAGGTGCTGCTGGGGCTGTGCGGGGCAGGACGCTGGGAGCGGGGACAGGCTTCGCAGGCAGAGTGGAGGGGAGCATAGCTCCTGGGGAGGGAGGAGGGGGTGTCTGCTGGGGACAGGCTGACCGAGAAGTCCCAGCACAGCAGGGAGGGACCACGCTCTGGGTGGGAGCATGGGGACCGG